AGATGTTAACCACATCTACGAAACACCGTGGTTAGTGTCTAATATTGCAACCTTACCAAGCTGACACATACAGATGACCATCCCATCATGTCCAGTTGCTGGTGATACCAGCTAGAAGGCATGAGGCAGAAGAGTTTGGGGTAGACAGAAGTATCCCTTCTAATCAGAAACCCAGAGATAGGATGCCAGGAAAGGGAGCATTCCCCACATGAGACTCAGGGAAAGGGTGACTACTTTGGTCCCATCCTGCCAGGAATTTGAGAGGTGCATTCCTGCCAGAGAGGGAGTCTGAATAAAACTCCTCTACCCAGAGCACAGGCCCTGCACCCTCCCACGGCGGCTTCTGTGGCATGGGTTCCAACCAGCTCTGCTCAAAGACTTCTGTGCTAGGAGGAAGGTGGGGTCACATCATGGCATCAGGATTCAAACACCATCAGGAGCCAGGGATGGGATACGTGAAGGGCTGGGAGCTGTGGCCAGAGGCAAACTGGACGGGGACACTTTGTCCACAAACACCTGACAGTCATCTTTGAAATCACAGCAGGAACAAGGTGCCTCAGAGAGCTGGGGGTCACCAGTCTGCCACCTTACTCAGAGGTAATGAAGGCCGCAGCCTGAGAGCCACAAGTGCTGAGTCACAGAGTCCGTGGAGAGATTCTGCAGATATGAAGAAAATGGGAAAAATACCTGATACCAACTAGGCTCAAAGACCCCAACACCTGCTCCCCATCTGCAGCCCCTCTCAAATCCTGGAGCACTGATGAGCTCAGTCCTCACACTAATCCTCACCTTCCTGGAAAACAGTAACCCCAGGATTGATTTTTCCTGATTAAATTATTTCCTAAGTTTGATAAATAACACCTGCCCTATTCTATGGCTTTCCTCTGACTCTGTTTATTAAACAACGTTTGAGATTTTTCTTCTTGCATGATAGGTACTAAAGGCACAAAATTCAAACTCATCATATCGAGGGGAGGGCTCCAGTCATCCGTGGCTTTGCACCACGCAGTGAGTGACGTTTTATTTGCCAAGGGCTGAGCAAGGCCAGGAACTGAGGCAGCACAGCTTTACTGGAAAGAGGTTTGGTTCTGGAGTCAGACCTAGGAGTCATCCTGGTGCAACCTCAGTCCCTGTGTGACCTTTGGCAAGGACTTAACCTTCATAAGCCTCAGCATGAAAATCGTCTGAAAACAGGGTTTTCCCATCCATAAAATGAGAATTGTTGAGGCATCCATAGTATGGAAAAGAACCTTTGAAAGTGTAAAGTGCACATGAACACAGGAGTTAACCCACTCTCCAACCTGTTTATAAATCCCTCCTGAGCCTTATCACCCACACCACCTCAGGCAGTCCCTGCTTTGAGACTAGCGTAGGTTACTGGTGCTGTGTCATACACCACCACAAATGCATCAGCTTTTCTTTTTCTTTTGGAGGTGGAGCCTCACTATGTCGCCCAGGCTGGAGTGCAGTGGCATTATCTTGGCTCACTGCAACCTCCACCTCCCCTGTTCAAGCAATTCTCCTGCCTTGGCCTCCCAAGTAGCTGCGATTGCAGGTGCCTGCCACCTGGTTGATTTTTGTATTTTTAGTAAAGACGAGGTTTCTCCATGTTGGCCAGGTGGTCTCGAAGTCCTGACCTCATGTGATTCACCCTCCTCAACCTCCCAAAGTGCTGGGATTACAGGCATGAGCCACCATGCCCGGCCATGCATCAGCATTTTAAACAACCTTTTTTTATGCTCAAGGATTCTGCTGGTCAAGAATTCGAACAAGGTGTATTAGTCTGTTTTCACACCGCTACAAAGAAATATCCAAGACTGGGTAATCTATGAAGGAAAGAAGTTTAATTAACTCACAATTCTGCATGGCTGGGAAGGCCTCAGGAAACTTACAATCATAGCAGAAGGTGAAGGAGAAGCAAGTACTTTCTTCACAAGGCGGCAGGAAAAGGAGAGAGTGAAGGAGGAACTGCCAAACACTTAATAAAGCCATCAGATCTCATAAGAACTCACTCACGATCATAAGAACAGCATGAGGGAAATCACCCCCATGATCCAATCACTTCCCACCAGGTCCCTCCTTTAACACGTGGGGATTACAATCAGAGATGCAATTTGAGTGGGGACACAGACCCAAACCCTATCACAGGACAAGGCAAGAATTGCTTCTCTCTGCTCCACAATGTCTGAGGGCTCAGCTGGAAAGAGTCAAAGGCTGGGGTGATTTGGTGACTACCTACTGGAATCATCCAAAGACCTATTCACTGACACACCTGGCTGTTGGCTGAGGCATCACCTAGGGCTGTTGACTACAACACCTCCACGTGGCCTCTCCACATGACTGCTTGGGCTTCCTCATAACATGGTGGCTGGATTCCAAGAACAAGTGTCCCAACAGAGCCAAGTGGAAAATGTATTGCCGTTTATTTATTTATTTATTTATTCATTCATTTATTTATTGAGATGGAGTTTTGCTCTTGTTGCCCAGGCTGGAGTGCAATGGCATGATCTCAGCTCACAGCAACTTCCGCCTCCCGGGTTCAAGTGATTCTCCTGTCTCAGCCTCCTGAGTGGCTGGGATTACAGGCATGTGCCACCACGCCTGGCTAATTTTGTATTTTGAGTAGAGACAGGGTTTCTCCATGTTGGTCAGGCTGGTCTTGAACTCCCAACCTCAGGTGATCCACCTGTCTCAGCCTCCCAAAGTGCTGGGATTACAGGCATGAGCCATCATGCCCAGCCTAATGTATTGCCTTTTATGACCTAGTCTCTGAAGTCCCATAGCATCACTTCAGCTATAACTGCACATCCACTCAGATTCATGGGGAAGAAATACAGGTCCTACCTCTAGATGGAAAGTCCCACTGTAAGAATAACTTGTGGGATGGAAGATAGTGTTGCAGTCATTTTTGGAAAATTCAATCTGCCATCAGGTCTGAGTCATTAGATGAATGAACAAGCTGGCAAGTTAGAATTTTGAACCAGGAATGGAACTTGGCGGATGTTGTCTCCCCCTATTCCTGGTCATTTCTGGCTCCAGATGCCCACTGAGATCAGCACAAGTTGTACCCATATCAGGAAATCTGACCGAGGCAAAGTTCAAACCACGAAGTCTCCTAAGGAAAGAGAAGGACAGACTGCCCTTTCCTCCCACTCCTGACTTGCCTGCCTCCTTGGAGACCTAAGCTTGTCTCAGTATTTATGTCTCCCCGTTTTCCAGAATGATTCCTGCCTCCCATCCTATGGGCAGTGCTCCCCAGGGTCTGCAGCTCTGGGGTGTTTGTAGCACACCCGGCTACTTGGGAACTTACTGCAAATGCAGAATCTCCACCCCACCCTAGACCTACAGAACCTGCATTTGAACAAGATCCACAAGTACTTCTTATGCTTACTAAAATCGCTGCAGCACCAGAGTAGGGGAAAGAGAACCTGGTTTGAAAGCTGTCATTGGGCTTCAATTCTAATTCTAGCTTTGCCCACTTATTAGCTGGACAAAACCATGCAAGTTATTTAACCTCTCTGGGCCTCGGTTTCCATAATAGGTAAATTTGGTATGATGACAGCTGTCTCAGTGTATGTGTTTGTGTGTCTGAGAGAGAGACAGAGACAGAAACAGAGACAGAGAGAGATGGAGTGAGTTTTCCTCCCAAGGCAGAGAACCAACACATTTCAACTCTAAAGGCCAAGCACCACTGTCAGCCCCGCCCTGCAGGGTAGAGACCTCTCCCACAGCCTCTGCCTGCTGCGGGGTCCATCAGGAGGCTGTGGTGGTCCGTGAAAACGGTGAGCAGCTAGCGCGGCAGGGAGACAGCAAGGCAGACCTTTCCTCTGGAGTGGCCAAAGAGGGAGGCTCAGGGAGTCCCCTCCCAGGAGAGAGCTGTCTCTCTGAAAGGCAAGGGGTCTTAGGAAGCCTGCTCGCCTTTGGATATATTATTATTTCTAACAGAGACTGTTTATCACCCACTTACAGGAGTTTTGACTGGGGCTTTTTGTCACCCTTTAGACTCTGGAAATTAGGTCAATCCGCTCCAGAATTTACTTGAGCCGGGAAACCTGACTTGCGGTGGCAGCAAAGGGGCCCCACCAGCGGGCTTAGGGAGGATTCACGGAACCACAGTCCTTGTGCCCAGGGCAGTCACAGAGGTCACCTCAGCTCTCCCCGCCATGTCAACAGCCACTGATGCCAAGGCCTGCCAGGCTCCAGGTGTGTCTGTGGGGATGGGGGAGGGCCTTAAGTAAAAATCATACATCAGTATCATCCTGGAAAGCAGGAGGAGGACAGGGAGAAATGTTAACAGGATTGTTAAATATTCAGTCCCTCTAAGCCTTTATTCAAAATGTTCTGAAGAATGATCTCATCCTTCCCTGATGCTACAAGCTGTGAAGTAAGCTTGGGTCCTACTATATCAATACCAATAGCTGGAAGTCCTTCCTTACGTCTAACTTAAAGACTTACTGCTCTAAGTATCTGCAACTAGCTTCTCCCAGCACCTTGAACATAATGAGTCCTCTGTCAATGCATGGTGCATTGTTGCTCTGAAAGACTGTCCCCTAAGGAAGGCAGAGAAAAATCTCTTCATAGCTTTCCAGCTTTCCTGGCAGGTCTGGTTTCCTTAAGGCTAGACAGCCCAGGTGTGCTAAGGGTCTTACTAGGCCCACTGGCCTCCTCCCCACAAGAGTCCAGACAGATGATCAATGCTGAAATTATCCTTCACAACTGGACACAAAGCTGTGGGGACTTTTGATTTTCTTTTCCCAAAGGAAACTGACATTGAGGTGCCTCATTGAAGTAGAAATAAAAACTAGGGAAATACTGCATCACAGATATCAGGGACTCTCTAGCAGGAAATTTGTTTCAGAAAAAGATCCGGCTGCTGATCCTCAGGGTAACCAAGCCTCGGTTTGTCTTCTGTACTGTGGCCTTTCTGCGTACGTATAATATATCTGTTTGTTTAGTTGCCCTGCAAAGTTCAGGCAAATCTAGGTAATTGTATAGATACTGTTCTCCAGTTATTTATTAACACATTTCAAAACATTTCTGCAGAACGTGCTGGTGCTATAGCAGGCATCTCCTCGGAGCCTAGCATCTGCAGGCAGGATTGAGTGTCCTGGGACGGGTCATTTCCGAGTCCTTGGAGCAGGGACACAGAGGTCCTCACTCAGCGTCTTCTGAATCACTGTGTGGCTGCAGGCCAAGTCTCTTTCCCAGCACAGCCACACCCTGCTGGAAATGAGAGGCAACGGAGGAGGAGGACGCTGATTAAGTGAAGTTGTGGAGCTTAGGAGCAAGGAGGAGGGGCTGACAGCAGAGCAGACCTTGAAGGCAGATGCCCCAGGGAGGGAGCAGGGAAAGAGCAGTCCTCCTCCATGCCACCTGGCTAATCCAGAGTCACCTAATCTGGGTAATACAGATGAGTTCTGATGATGAGATCCCCACATAACCAGACTGGGAGAAGCCCAGCCCCACAGCCTAGGGTTGTGACTGGCATGGCTACAAAGGCAAAAGGTTTCCCTGAAGATTTTCTCTCAGCCCGTACAGATCTGGGTCTGGCTTTGGAGTTGAAGGCAAAGATTGAGGGGTCTCTAATAGTGGGGTGGGGGTCCTCAGGCCCCTGTCTCTGTGGGAAAAACATGGAGGACTTGCTAAACTTTGATCCCAGACTGTGGACTGATTACAGGCTACCATGGGAATGGACTGGATTAACCAGCCGAAGGGGTCAGTATCTGACCTGTGGCTGACGAGGTCCCTGGATGCCTCACCAGGAAAAGCCAGCCTTCACCTTCCTGGAAATTCCCCCATGCTTTCTAATCACAACGTAGCTGCTCAGTGTCTCAGTTCCTCCCGGGAGGATTATCTATCATTTTAGCATGCCAGCACCCTGTCAAACCCATCTATTCATACAAATGTGCTAATAGGAGAGCCTCCTTTTTCTTCCAGAAGCTTCTGTCACAGGCAGAGGAGGACAGAAAAAAAGGACAGGACAGGAGGGGAAAATGGGAGAGGAGCAGCCTACAGCATTAGGGACCCGCATTACAGTGATTGAGAGAACAGAGGGAATCATGGCAGACCCATGGAGGTGGTGTTTACGACAGATGGGGTCCTGCAAGGGAACACTCTGCTCATCAATGCAGAGGCAGATAACTAACATATCTGCAAGAGGACCAGCTCCTGGGAGCCATCCTGTGAGGTACTATGAAATCCCCATATGTCATTTCACATGTCTGTATATTTGAGTCTACATGCGGGGTGATGGAGGTGAAAAAAGTTTACACTACCCACCACAAAGAATTCCTATGCAAGATGTGCCCATGGAAGTTACCAGAACCTCCCACCATCCCTCCTGGCCTGCCCCACCCTCTACCTCCTGGGTGATGACCCTGCTCTGCCTTCTCCCATTCCCCAATCAAAATTCCAAGATCTAGGGCCTCCAACTCCATTTTCACCCATAACTCTCCTCAGGAACTACCTTCCAGGGGGCCCTGTTAGAGCGAGCTCATGTAAACAGTAAATGGAGTCACTCAGCAGCAGCTGGCAAGTGTTTTCAATGAGTTGGAAAATCAGGTTGAAGGTATCGTGAAATATGGTGCTTATAGAGAGGCCCAGATGCATGGGCTAAGTACTTTGTGATTAGGCCTGCCTCACCCATTCCACCCTCCAGCCCTGTCTCTTCACCCTCCTTCTTTCCTTCTCCAGAGTTTTTAAAGTTAAAATATGCCTGCGTATTTTATTAATATCTTGTAAAAGAGGCTTCTTCAAGCGAGTGGTTCTTTGCCTTAGGGGTCAATGTGATCTTTTTTGTACATGTGTATAGCAGGATATGTTGGCTTGTAAATGTGCATGAGTTTCTGAGTGTAGGTGCTGAATAAATGTTTATTGATGATGCCTACCTATGCAACCTGCATGGTGCTTGTATTTCTATTGCATGTGCATTTGCACATCATCTACATACACACAGAGAGAGAGAGAGAGAGAGAGAGAGAGCCTTGCTTCCAGAGCCATACATGCTCTATTTTCAGTTTCTTAATGTCCTAAGAGGTTATATCCTGTCTACATGGATGGACTGAGAGCACACTTGGATTTCTATCAAGATATGTTCTCCTAATTCACCAGAACCCCCACTTCCTGCCCATCGCCTACACACAGCATCCCACGCCATGCAGTGCAGGGAAGCACATTCCTCAAAGCTCAGCTGCCCACCTCTGAGCAGGTGCAAACCCACCCGTTGCATCCTCCCATCCACCCTTTTTCCCCTCTGACTCTGCTCTCCTCCTAAATGGTCTCTCTTTCCTCCCTACCTCCTCCTCCTTCATTTTCCTTCTCCAGAGAGGCAGAGGTTAGGTGTGCTTGACCGGGATTCACCAAGTGCAGATATCAAAACAGTAAAGGGATGTGGACACCATCTCTGACCTCTCGTTTCATGACAGGCTAACGGAGGCTCAGGGATGCTGAAGGATTTCTCCCGTGTGCCCAAAGTAGGTCACAGAAGAGCCTGCGCCAGAGCGTGTGTTTTCCCAGCCTTTCCCACAGCCTGGCCCCCGGTGGAGGAAGCGCTTCCCCTCCACCGACCCCTGCCTCCTACATCAGAGGTGCTGCACCCAATGAGTGTGGCCAACCAAGACCACCAGCGGGTGAAATGAGTCACCTCGACTGTCTCTAGGATGGAAACTTGGTAGGGATTCTGGTTCCTGTGAGCAGGAGGAACGCGAGATGAGAGGCAGGAGGACCGACCCTGCTGCTCTCAGGCTCTCTGTGACTTCACAGAGGACAACTTTGGCCCCTCCCCGCCCAGCTCTGGCGGGTGCACGTCAGTGGACTCTGTCCAACAGGCGGAGTCCATGGAAAGGAAGGACAAGATGATGTAAGCATGAGATCCCAGATGCTGGCCCTGGAAGGGTTTTAGGGACCATGTCCTCATTCAGTGTCCTTGAATTATACAGAAACTGGGCACATAGAGGCTCCAGGACTGGCCAATTTGCCACCGGGACCGGTCCCAGACTTTGCACTCCCAGAGTGCTGTCCCATTTACAAACCCTCGCCGTCCATTCCTTTTTGGAGTGAGTTCTGGTGGCACTCCTATAGGAACAGCGTGTGGGGAGGCCTAGGTGTGGCCTGGCCTCAGATGAGGACACCATCCAGGTGACCCGGCCGCTGCGTCCCTGCTCTTTGTGCCACACCCCAAGTCCCTTTGCTTCCCAGAGATGGAACAGATGACAGGGGCGCACGGAGGAAGCGGGCCTGGGGACACACGGTGTGCCGAGCTCTTTTGTCCGCCTGGGTCGCCCTCCGCAAAGCCACTGCTCCCGGCTTCCCGCGCCGGTCCCCAGGCAGCCAGCAGTTGGCGAGGAAGGGGCTGCGGCCGCGCGGTTCCTTCTCCAAGGACAGGCGCGCCCTCTGCTGCTAGAACGAGGAAGCGCGAGCCCGGCCGGCTCAGAGACCGAGCTTGAACCCGCAGCAGCGCGCACCCATCAGAGAAGCCGGCTTAGTAAAGCCTGCCGCGGCTAACGCATCCAGAGGACTTTCCCCTTCCAGGGTGCTCTGACTCAGACAGGAGGGTATAGAACCTGGGAGAAGGAGGAAGGACCGCCTGAACTCTGTGAGAAAAGGGAGGGAATCCTTGCATTTGGGATTTAGGACAAAATCCTTGCATTTGGGATTTAGGTCAAAACAGTTACATTTGGGATTTAGGCTCCTTCCCCATCCTTTGTCCTCTCCACGAAGCTCCTCTCACCCCAACCACCAAACTGTGCCCATGAAGTGAATGGCCCATTAAGGAGTCTGTGGGAGCCGCAGTGTCTGGAGATTTCACTCCGCCATCTCTTGAGCTCTGGGAGAAGTTTTAAAATGTTCACTTTGGCAACTTTGAGCTTGGTTCAAAGCATGGTGTCTCCGCAGGAAGAGTACAGGACTGGGAATGAGGCCTCCTGGAATCTGGTTCCATTTCAACCACTCTTTTCCCCTGTGCTAAGTCACGTGTCCTCTCTGTGGCTCAGTTCCTGACCTATTACATGGGCCTCTCATGTCCTGGAAAATTCACTGAGGTACCAGATATGCTACAGCATTAGCAAGCGGTAGTGCCACTGCCCTGCTCTGGCTGGGTTGGCTTTCCCTGGAAACTGGCAGTGGTAAGAGGAGGGTGGAGACAGAGCCTCTGGCCATCTCCACTGCTCCTCACCCCTGCTGGGACTCCCACTGTGCAGTATTTCCCTCTCATCTCTGGACAATCCCACGGACTCCTTCCTTCAGGCAAGGCATCCCCAAGGATGTGCAAATAAAAATGCTGTTGGTGGTGGGGGCAACATATTCAGTGAAAATCCACCAAGGACACTGGCTGGGGCTGGAGCAGGAGGGGGGTGAGGGGAATACTGCTCGAGGAAAGCGGGAGGGACCGGGAAGAGGTCCCCGGACAGCACCAGCTGGAGGGTCCTAGCATGGGGCCTTGGAGGCAGCAGGGAAAGGAAGCCTCTCTGATTTTAGAATGTTCGTGGAGCCAGCCCTGAGTTGCTTTCCTTGTCAAATCACAAGCATAGGCTTTGGGAAGAACTGGTGAACAAACTTTAAGGTGGCATTCTCCTTGTGCCTAGGACAGCTACTGACCTCCTCAGCCTCACCTCATCCAGAAATTGGGGGTGTAAAACCTACCCCAATGCAAGTAACCCGCTTCACTCAGTAAGCAGCACCGAAGTGCACAAAATTATTGTTGTTGTTATCATGATCATTGTGGTCATATCAGGCCTAACCCTCTTGTTTTCTGCATGATGTTCCCTTACTTGAATTTCTGTTTCTTCATCAACAAAAGTCATGTTTGTCCCTCCTTAGTTCTGGGCATTGTGGTGGGGAGGAGGAAAAAGGCATCCCAGGTGCATCAGCAGAGGAATGTCCCTGAGGGACCCGAAATAGTATTATTGAAGGCTAAATGTTCCATGGCTAAAAGCTGCTGTAGCGATCTTTGCATCCACTTGATTTGAATGGGCACATTACTGTAATGTCCTAGTGCTGCAGTCAACACAGGGAAGGTTGAGCTATTTGTAACAAGATGCATGAGCAGCATAAAGATCAAATGGTGGAATAGAACGCGTCTGGCTCACCTGAGAAAACAGGGCTAGTGGCTTTGAATATGGCTGGAATCCATCCATGGCCGCCTGCCTCAGAAACACTGCCTGGGGCTTCCTGTAGGGAGGACTGAAGAGACAGGAGCAGGTGGAGAAAGAAGGCAAGTGTGAGGA